CCACACGAATTTTAGAACTTATATCCCAATTTTTTAACCTCTTTTAGCTTCGCTGTTATGGTATATATGTTTTGTTCGGCCGCTGACTGCCACAAAAAGCGCAACTACCTCGTCAGATCCATCCTCGGTTATCCAAAACCTCCTCAGATCTCTCCAACAATCCGGAAATCAACATTCGGGGTCAGAAGCGGCCGACAACCTATTCACAACACTTTCAGATCTCCTCCAACCCTCATCAACGCTTCCATTCATTGAATCAGCGGACTCTGAAGCGGCCAACCATCTCCTTAGCTTTCTTCCTACATGTCTCCTCTTCCTTTCGCAATCAAACATCGATGAAATACCCAATAACATCGAGCCCGGCTCCGAAGCCGCGAAATCTGCAATGCAAACCTTGACTCTTGAACAAAAACGAGATATCCTTAGAAGGGTTTTACGTTCCCCGCAATTCACGCAGAGCCTTGGTAGCCTCACTGTTGCCTTGCGCGATGGTGGACTACCTAGCATCAGCGATGCGCTGAAAATCCCAGTGGCAAACAACGGGTTTATGCGCCATGGTGGGGTCCCGCTTGGAGGAGGAGATGCCGTTCGCGCATTTCTAGAAGGGATCAAGAGACATGTTGAAGAGACGAGCAAGAGTGGCCAGGATAAAATGGAAACAGACTAGGGGTATGCAGAAACTACTAGTATGTATTTGAGTTGCATGAATTTTTGTAGTGACTGGTATACAAAAATCGAGAATTCCTGACTTATGTTTCAGGAATTGTACAGGTGCCTTACAAGGCTGATTATTACGGACGTTCATTTCCTCGTAATTTTTGTAGGTAACCTTGTTATGCTACGGAGTAGAATATTTTTAGAACAGATGTATGTAGAGGTATCTGTCATGTCATGTACAGAATACAGTACATAACTCAAGAGAAATGTCAGTAGAAGAGATGCCCTTTTTCTGGTTGGTGTATTCGGGGTACATGGTAGAACATGTACCGTATTGTATGGACTTGAGCCAGATATGTAACTCCTAACCTTCCATTCTCCTGAGCCGCCAACAGATAATAATCAAAGATAAAATATCATGAAGCTAACTGTATGATCCCCATGATGCGAATTTATTGCGCTGTTCATCAGGAGCCGAATTACCGCAACCTCCCTCACGCCAGAATAACCAAAGCGCCGGTTAAATCAGCCCACTGAAAGACACCACCTTTATTGATTTCGCCGCCCAACCCCCCACCCATTACATCTACTGTCGAGCATACTATTTACGTACGGAGCAATTTGCGCGCTACTGCTCATTTGCACACACGCGAAGCGGTGGCAGCCTGTGACAATTCATATACCCGGATTGGACTTTTATTGGGGTTTCCCATGCGGTTGCATCGTTCGCATTTTGAGATGTCCTCCTTCAGATAGCCAACGCCAATCAGCATGGCGTCGCAACACAACTACAATAACGACTGCTATGACCCGCGTAATTATGACTCCGCTTCCGTTCCTGTTAACCAGTCGATCCCCTTGCAAGACCTCTCGAGACCCCCAGATATTGTGACACGAGATGGACCAGAGCAGCGACGCAGAAGAACGAGCAGCAGCAGCAGCACTGCGGGACCCGAGGGATTTCCTGTCCAGAGAACGTCGATAATAGGGCGCAGGGGCATTGGGAGGAGATATGAACGGATAGCGGAGGATTCTCCCGGTCCGACGGGGCGGGGCGGGATGGATAATTTCCAGACCGTCAATTTGTCCCACGATCATCTTCATCATAATTCCCCTATACCCCATGCTGATGATGACGAGCCGTATACACACAACAGTTTTCAGGAAGCCGTAGGCTCCATTGGATTGGCCTTCGATGGGCCATCACTTTCGCATTTCTCGGGCCAGGATTCAGCTCAACAACGCTCTCACCAGGCTAATGTGAGGGAATCTGATGACATGACACCCTTTCCCTATATGGGCAGCCATATGCCCAACGACGAGGAACTTTACATGTCCCCGACTGATACGAACGAAAATGACACTACCCCACTTACAGATCAGAGATATCAACAACCCATTGACGGCGTTTCCGCCTCGCATGGCCAGCGACATGACAGGCCTAGCGCGCACTTCGCTAAAGAGCCGACAGTCGCTGGGACACATCTGGGCGATGATCTACCACACTTGGAAGAAGGGAATAATAGGATACGTAGTGGCTCCAGCAGCCCGAATTTTCCAGGTCGTAGGACACGTCAGCTCTCACCTGCTCCCAATTCCGCACTATCAAGAGCGGGCTCGATGATGAAAATGATGTCGCAACGTGTGGTGAATATTAGTCATGAACCGGAGATCATTGAGCAATCGCTTCGGAACAAATCATCGCTTAAGAATGCCCGACTCGAGGCTCCGCCGTCGCTACCTGCAATGACGGAGTACGCCCATGACATATCGACGCCGGGGCTAGAGGACGATTTTTCACCTGAAAAGCGCCCATCGCTTTTCTCCAAACTACGAAACCCAGATGCGTATCAGAAAGAGGAAAACCCGCTCAAAGGCAATTCATTGGGTATCTTCACTCCGAACAATCGACTACGGAGAGGGTTGCTGGAGATCCTCATCCACCCCTCAATAGAGCCGATAATTCTCGTCCTCATTATCGTCCAGACAGTATTACTAGCTATTGAATCCTCGGTATACAAAGACGAACGGGGGAGTCGCTGGGGGAATCCCCCATTCGACTACGCGTTCCTCGTCCTCTTTATCATTTATACGCTCGAGATCAGCGCAAGGATCATTGTCTCCGGACTTATATTTAATGCAGATGAATATAGTACCTTGGATCGATCACTTGGTTTAAGAAAAGCTTTGGTCGCAAAGGGGAAGGATCTTTTGATGCCACAGCGACAGCTTTCTAAAAGGCACTCGAGCGAGCCGGTCGAACCTCAAGTATCCATTTTAAGGTCGTTCACGGGTATTCAAAACACAACGGACCCGTCTGGGGATGCTAACTCCCTGCAGCGATTCCGTCTTGCTCGCCGGGCATTTTTTCGTCATTCCTTCACCAGGATAGATTTTCTTGCTGTTGTATCATACTGGATATCTTTTGTCTTGTCAAACTTATCTCTTGAGTCGGGGCATCATCTTTATGTTTTCCGAATGCTGAGCTGCCTTCGAATTCTGAGACTTTTGGGTCTCACTAATGGTACTTCGGTATGTTCTTTTTATCATTCAGAAATTTCTATTACATATACGAACTTGGGCATTAACTGACTTCCTATATAAATTCTAGGTCATTTTCCGAAGTTTGAAAAAAGCTGCCCCCCTACTGGTCCATGTTGCTTTTCTCATTGGTTTTTTCTGGCTCTTGTTCGCCATTGTAGGCGTCCAAAGCTTCAAGTCCAGCATGCGCAGGACTTGCGTCTGGGTTGATCCCGAGAACCAAAATAACTTTACTTTGAATTCTGCGCCTGATAAAATCCAATTCTGCGGGGGTTACCGTGAGGTTGGCACAGGTGCCAGTAAGCCCTGGATTTTGCCTGATGGACGAGCAGGCGCGGTCGATGCAAAGGGTTACCTTTGCCCTGAGGGTTCCCTCTGTGTGCAAGGCAGCAACCCTTATGGCGGAACTATCAGCTTTGACAATGTCGCCCATTCCCTGCAGCTCGTTTTCGTAGTCATGAGCTCAAACACTTTTACCGACATCCTTTACTACATGACTGATACTGACTTCCTTGGCGCTGCTTTGTTTTTCGTCGTCTCGTTTGTCATCCTCAGTTTGTGGCTGGTCAACTTATTAGTTGCTGTCATCACCTCGTCATTCCAAGTTATTCGGGAAGAAAGCAGGCGCAGCGCATTTGCCACTGAACAGATTGACGAGAGAGAGTTCGTGGATGATACCCCTCGCAAGCTTCGTGGACTGAAACTTTTCTATGATCGAACTTACTGGCTGTGGATTACTGTGATTGGATTCGGTCTTGTAGTTCAGTGTCTCAGAAGTTCCTCCATGGGGCATGCCCGGCGACAACTTATCGACAGGACTGAAATATTTGTCACCATTATTCTTGCTGTTGAAATATGCCTTCGATTTGCTTCTGACTGGAGGAACTTCTTTAGAGACGCCCGTAATTGTGTTGACTTGGCGCATGCGATCATTACCTGCATCATTCTAATACCGCCAATACGATATTCCAGTCGAGCATACGCCTCACTCTCAATATTTCAGGTACTGCGTATATATCGCATCGTTCTTGCGTTCTCCGTGATGAGCGATTTGATCAAGACGGTATTCAAGAACGTAGTTGGCTTGCTCAACCTCATTATCTTCGTGTTTCTCATTACATTTTTGGCCTCAATATTCGCTGTCCAGTTATTCCGGGGCCAGATACCTTCGCAGGATATGGATGGGAATGATGTACAGATAACTTTTTTCGACATATACAACTCATTTTTGGGAATGTATCAAATACTTTCCAGCGAGAACTGGACGTCGATATTATACTCAGCAGTCCAATCTACCTATCCGTGGAACACAGGCTGGATCTCAGCTATTTTCTTGATTATGTGGTTCATTCTGGCTAACTTTGTTGTCCTGAACATGTTCATTGCTGTTATCCAGGAGAGCTTTGATGTGTCTGAGGACGAGAAGCGGATTCAGCAGGTGAAGGCTTTCTTACAACAGAAGCAGCTCAGTGGGTCTTCTCAGGGCAATCTTTCACTCTCAACTATATTTAGACTTGGTCGCAATTCTCAACGATACCGAGATCCACTCGATCATGGCCCTGCGGCGCTTGAAATGTTACTGAAGGATGCTGTCGTCAACGAGTTTCTCGATGAGCAGCCGCCGCGATCGCCACCTGCAGATATCCCGCCAACGGAGACCCAACCCAGCCATCCTAAACATACTAACGGCACTACCAACATTTTCATCTCACTGAAAAACCGGATCATGGACCGAGAACCCAATCCTTTCTATTCAAAACTGAAATTTTCCAAAGTTTATGACGACTCAGATCCAACTGCAATGGCTAAAGAGGTTCTCTCTGCGTCGGAGCAACGGAAGCGTGCACAACGACAGTACCTCCAAAAATATCCTAATTATAATGTCTCGTTGTATATCTTTAAGCCCACACATCCTTTACGACGATTATGCCAGAGAATTGTTGGACCGGGTCGAGGGAGCAGTCGTTTCGAGGGGGTAGATCCTTACAAGCCAGTGTGGTATACCTTTTCAGCATTCCTTTATGCGGCGATCGTCGCCATGGTTTTGCTTGCTTGCGTATCTTCACCCCTTTATCAACGAAATTATCTCCAGACTCATAAACCTGGTCTCAGTAACTGGTTCGTCTGGACAGATTTAACTTTTGCAATTCTTTTCACTATTGAGGCCGTGATAAAGGTTATTGCAGATGGCTTTTTTTGGACACCAAATGCATACTTTCGAGGCTCTTGGGGTTTAATTGACGGGGTCGTGCTGGTTACGCTGTGGATCAACGTTGTATCGGCAATATTTAACGCTACTGCCACATCGCGTGTTGTGGGTGCGTTCAAGGCTCTTCGAGCTTTGAGGTTGCTAAATGTCAGTGACAGTGCGAGAGAAACTTTCCACGCCGTGATTATATTGGGTGGGTGGAAGGTTATTTCTGTAAGTCGCATATTTTCCAGTCTACCTCTCCTTTTCAGCATTCTCACAGACGCGTATCTAGGCGGCATTTGTGTCAATGAGTTTCCTGGTCCCATTCGCTATCTACGGCTTGAATCTATTCAACGGGCAGCTCAAATCTTGCAACGATGATAACTTTGGGCACAGCTCATTGGACCACTGTGTGGGCGAATATATGAGCTCCCCATATGCATGGGATGTTTTGGCACCGCGGGCGGTTTCGAATCCGTATTACAGTTTCGACAATTTCGGGGAATCACTCTTCATTCTTTTCCAAATTGTGTCCCAAGAAGGCTGGACTGGTGTCTTATGGCAATCGATGGCAATAACTGGAGTAAACCAACAACCTGAACCCCTTGCATCTCAAGAAAATGGCCTTTTCTTCATCGTTTTCAACTTGCTCGGCGCTGTCTTCGTGTTGACACTGTTCGTCTCCGTCTTTATGCGAAACTACACTGAACAGACCGGGGTAGCATTCTTGACTGCTGAGCAGCGATCTTGGCTGGAACTTCGCAAACATCTACGACAAATATCACCTTCCAAACGGTCCATTGACAAGGATAGCAGCAAAATCAAATCGTGGTGTTACAAAATTGCAGTCAAAAAACACGGACGCTGGTCAAGGTTTATCACTGCCCTTCTATTATTCCATCTGCTTCTCCTAGTTCTTGAATTCTACCCTGAATCTGTCTGGTGGGATAGAACTCGAGGTACGTCTTTCCCTCCTTCTCACAATGCTTAAGAGTCGCAACTCATATGTTACAGATATTATATTTTTGATTTTAACGCTATTCTATATCGCCAATATTTTTATTCGAATTGTCGGCCTAACATGGCAACGATTCAGTAGAAGTTCGTGGGACTTATACTCGATCGTTTCGGTACCTGGAACCTTTATCACAACAATACTCTCAGTAATTCGATACGAGAATATCGTCTTTACACGTCTCCATAAACTATTTCTTGTCTCTATAGCTTTGTTGATGATTCCTCGGAATAGCGAGCTCGATCAGCTATTCAAGACCGCTGCTTCCAGTCTGACGGCCATTGGCAACCTTCTGGCAACCTGGTTTGTTCTTTTCCTTGTCTATGCAATTGCCCTCACTCAGATATTTGGCCTTACCAAGTTTGGGAAGGGGGAAAATGGCAATATCAATTTCAGAGATGTTCCAAGGGCACTTGTTCTTCTTTTCCGTACAAGTGCTGGAGAGGGTTGGAACGAGATAATGGAAGATTTTGCTACCATGGCGCCACCTTACTGCACAGCCGAGGGACGGTTCTTTGAGAGCGACTGCGGTAGTGCCGTTTGGGCCCGCGTTCTTTTTATTTCCTGGAATATTCTTAGCATGTACATTTTTGTATCTCTCTTCGTATCGCTTATTTTCGAGAGTTTTTCCTATGTCTACCAACGAAGCAGCGGGCTGTATGCAATCAGCAGAGAGGAGATCCGGCGTTTCAAACAAGCATGGGCTACCTACGATCCTGATGGAACTGGATATATCTCTAAGGAAGCTTTTCCGAGGTTGCTAGGGGTAAGCCAAGCCAGATAACCATTAATTACTGTCCTTAATTCTAACATTAGTATGGTAGGAGCTATCTGGCATATTTGAGATGCGCATCTACGACGGTGACTTCACAGTTGGCCGTATCGTGGAAGACTGCAAAGTTAATCGCAGGGAATCAAGTCAGACGCCATATGTACGAGCCATTGATGGAATTGACTTGGACAAGTTGCAACGTAGGATTGATCGTATCCCCGTCCAGCAAATCCGCAGAAAGCGCGCTCGCATGAATGCTTTTTATGAAGAAGTCCTCGTTTCGGCAGACCCTGAAAGAGGCATTTCCTTCACTTCTTGCCTGATGATTCTTGCTCATTACAATGTGATCACTGATAGTAAGAGTTTGAGGTAAGTCCCAATATCCATACACTAGAATTCTTCAAGCACCACTATTTTTAATATATTTTAACATATCCCCTACCCTTGCAGACTCGAAGAATTCCTCCGTCGCCGAGCTCGCCTCCAGCGCGTTGAAGAAGCTGTCCGACGAAACGTAGTGATTGGTTTTTTTGACACATTGTATTGGTCCCGAAAATTCCGTCGCCGCTATGAACCTGATCATGACTGCCGCCTCGGCTCTGTGCCACAATTTGCTGTTCCGGAAATTTTTGTGGAAGATGGCGAGCCAAGATGAGCAACAGCAGCAACAACGCCAAAATCAGGTCATTCGCAGCCTCTCGGATTCAGCTTTACCTTTTTCCCATGCATCCTCGCCAGATCGTTAAGTCGCTCCTCCCGCGATGAGGCTGGTCGCAAACGAATGCGCAGCCCCCTTCTATTGACACAAATATCTCCCAAAGCTCAGGCTCACAAACACGCAATGCTGACTGGGCAAGTAAAAGTCCTTCATCGTCTCCCGCGCCTAAGCCGCACGTTCTTTAGTTCCACTCCTCCCGGCCCAGATGATATATCAACTCATCGACCGGATACTGACAGCTCTGTCAGTGTGCAGGGCGTCATGGAGTCGCTAGACAATTCTGCATGGGGCGAAAGTATCAGACGAAGTTTCACGATGCGTCGGTCACAGGGCCGGGAATAATCGCTAAAGCAAAGTTCAAGCGCATTTTCCTCCTTTGCCCATTTACCAGGACCTATTCTAGATTCCACTAATGATCCACCATACTTCACATGATCTCCTTTTTTTCTCATTTCTGTACCTCCCTTCCCTCTCCCTTTCTTTCGCTCTCACTTTTTATCTTTTCTTTTCTTTTTTTTTTTTCACACCTATACATCTATTTCCACTATTGGCATTTTCCATGCATTTTCAGTTATTCTCCCCTTCCCCTCTTCACATTTGTTTTATTATTAAATCTTTCTCCTGCAGAGTTATGATAACCCACAATACTCCCTAGAGATATGCTTTTACGTGTATACAATCACTACTTTATTAAAGAACACATGCAGATAACGATATACATGACAAGTTAAGAGGGAACTGGACGGCGGCTGTGACCGAAACGGATTTAGGTAGAGGGAAAATCAGTCGATGTGACCACCTTTCTCCTAACTTATCCACGTCCTTTCCTCCTGTTTTGTGGTAGTTTCTAGTTACGGTATTCTAGATTTCAAAGCAACACAAAAGTGGTTTGAAAAACAGCAAATATGCGCATTGCAGCGAAGAAGAATGCAGGATTTTATTTTCATTTTTTCATCTTTTGGTCGATTTCAATTCTCAATTTTGGTGTTTCAGTACCTGGTCGTTGAGTCCTTATTCCTTTTTTTCCTGTTTCTTTTTAGTTTTCAAGTTTGTAGATTTTTAATGCTTTTTTTTTTCTTTTTCTTCCCCCCTTCTCTATTACCCTTTTGTTTAGTATGACTTTCATCATGCCATTTTTTACGTATGTCTTGCTGGTTGCATTTATTACCTATTTTGTTCCCTACTTGCGTGTACTATCTGATTTTGAATGACGGAGAGCGAAAGCGGTGCCTTTTTCTAAGAGAAGATACCTATATAATTTATAACTAATTGTATCTACAGTGCGTTTACCACCTACATGCCCATAGTCCGAGGGCGGGGAAGTCGGTTCTTCCTATTTTTCCCTGCCGTGTCTCCTTATGCTTCTTTAAGGACTGCCAAGCTTCGTAACGCTGGTGCAGCGAACGTGGATCGACCTTGAAAGATAAATCATGGCGTCAGCAACAGGGGCAGGCGGCTTAACCACTAGTTCTGTGCATATGCATATATGTAGCTCTAGCAACAAGAACTTGATATAGGATTGTGTTGAAGGGAGATAGACAACGATGCTGTCAAATGGAAATTTACGACGCACACAAACGTTGGCACTGGAAACAATGTATCAAAAGTGAGACAATGAGTTCATTCTTCTTTCCTCCTTGAACTTAAAAAGATCACATATTTAAACTTTCCTTACTGTGCCGTGATGCACCACACAGCATTGACAATCCTTGGTTCAAGCAGACGATAATACCGAAATGAAGGGACAGTGTGTGCTACCTACCTTGAAATACGGAATGAAAAGTAATAATATCACAAACAACAACAAGCAGTAGAAGTTTGGACATGGTAGGTAGAAATCTTCAACTCGGGTTATATAACTCGTCATCCTGTCCCGCTGAACTTCTTCCCTTCTTCCTTTCTTCACCTTTGACCTTCGGTTCATTCCATCAGTGCTTGGATCTTCTCGATGAAACAAGTAGGGAGAGATGAGGCTGGGAGAAAGGCTACTCAGAGGTTCCCACCCACCTCAAACAGAAAGCTGTATCAAATGCTTTTTAGTGGGGCAGATAAGGAACATTTCCATACTTTTTCATTCTTGGTAATTTTTCCCTTTTTATCCCTGCTAATGTCAGGGGGGTTAGGTTCCTGCAGATACTTGGCAGGGAGAGAATGAATGCTTGGGGTTTTCAATAATACCAATGCAGGCTATGAGAAGTGATGATGGTTGTTTGATTCCCCGCAAATGGACGTTGTCGACGTGGCCGAATTTCACAGCAAGCATTAATATATTCATGTATATATGTATCTTCCTACTTCCTACCATGGAATGCGAGGTATCGGATTTTCCAAGTTGAAAGTATAAAAATTCCTGTATGGCTACTATGTAATTGACTTTTTGTTCTCTCACACTATCGGTTTCTGTTATCTTCTCAGATCTAGATTTTGTCCATGTCGCTTCAATAGCCTTCCCATATTCTCCGTTTACCCTTTTTCTTTTCTTCTTGACGACTTAAGAGAGGCATTCCCGGTCTTTATTTTCTCTGCTTTATTCGTCGTTAGTTATTGTTGTCTTTCGCGCCGTCCGTTTGCCGTTTGTCACCCGGCTTAACTCTTACTCAGGACAGAGCAATAACTTCTGCTGGTGGCTCAACTGCCACATGCCACGTTCTTTTTGAGAAATCACTCGATAATTATTTGGCCTTGCCATTCATTCCTGTTTTTAATGCCGTTCTGCGCTATCCCGCCATTCTCCATCTGATCAATCCGCTTAGTCCACTCAGGCCTTGCTCTTGGGGGCTCTTGCAGAGTCACCCCTCATTTCCTGCGATCCTAGCTGTGATCCGATTACAATTTCACTTCAATTCATAAATTGTGAAAATCGCGTTCAGCTCCCGACACAATTTCGTGGCTGTTTTGAGCTACAATATCAGTCATTGCATACAACCTTTCAGTGCTCCAGCCCAGCTCGAAACGGCCTTCAAACGTTTGAAAATTCATAGAGAATTTCCCCATTTTTTCAGAATGGGTGACATCGGCGAGGCCAGTGAACTCCTCCCGTCGCCGTGGACCAGTTATACACAACCACCACCACCAATACCACGGCGAAATCCATTCCGCTACGCCAGGAGCATGTCGACAACAAGCAGCCCCATCTCTTCTCCAGACTCTAGCCCCACAAGCTCAAGCCGGCGAAGCCATTGCTCAGCGTCCCTTAATCGTATGTGTCACTGTAGCCGCAGTGGCAGCCCGTTCACAATGCGTTCTGCAACCTCATCATTTCGACTATCATCTCTACTTCTCCGTCGTCGGCCGTCTGCTGTGGATTTGGCGCTGAGTGAAGAGCGTTATCGGTGTGCTGAGGACTCGGTCGAGAAGATTGGGTTGGGCCTTATGGAGCCGCGACCTGTAGATCCTATCCCAGCGCCAATGATCATCGGGGATGCGGAGGCCAACTTCAATTGGAACATGAACATGAGTATTAGACCGTTGTCTAATGTTGAGTCAGATGGTGATAATACGAAACACGTCAATTCGTTGCGGATAGGTATTAAACCACGATTTGTTATGGGTGGGATTTTCGAGGTCATGGAAGGATCGGCTTAGAGAAGTCTCTAACTAACGGGGATACAACTAAATTTACTGATCCTGGCAGCCTGAGTTGTGGGACGTCCAAGTTGTTGTATTAGTTAGCATGGAGGCAGCTGATATGTGCGGTGCGCTAGTCTGTAATCAACAAAATTAGCACAGCTGTCTTCGGTTGTCCTTACTGATTTCACATGCTTTCAATTTTTTGTCCTTCGTGAGACAGGAGAGGCGATGCAATCCGAAGACGGATAAGGGGCTGTACGCAGGGATCAGGTGGTTGCATTTCTCCTATAGCATACTGCTTAATGCAATTAAGTCCTCACCCCATACCACACCACAGAAGATTGCGAATTCGACTATAAAACGTTTCGATGCTCATCTAAAGATGACATATATAATATCCGTGGTGAGGAAAGCGCTGCTGGTGGAGGTGGTGAAGAAGAAGAAGAAGATGATGATCATGCAACATTTGATATTATGAAGTTGATGGTTACTCAACCTTGGTATCTCACCACAGTGGTGACTCGCGTTGAAGTTTGAAACCTATTGATTGCTCGAATGGCTGGTGTGGGTTAGCATCTAGCTCTGTAATGTCATGTATATTTAACTATATATATTGTTCATGATGGGTTCTCAGTGGACTACAGCCCAAAGATTGATGTCTGAAAATATGGGAGAAGGATCCATACTTGGACATGCATTGCAATATGAAATAATTGAAAGTCCAAGAGTTTCACTTCCTTTTTATCTTTGTATTTAGCAATCACGGTCAGTTTATTTTTCTTTCAAATCAGAAGAACTGTTGGCTTCTCTAGCTACTTTGAACCATTGAAAGTTCAATATATCTAATACTGTGGATTTCTTTGCCAGACAGATGAGTAATGATGTTGTTGATGGGCTCTCTTAGCTTCATTTTAAAACCGAGTAACCTGACTGCTTGTGTTTACCGGGATGCGGAACAAGCATACGGAGTATTCTGTAGACATATGAAGATCAGTAAACGGTATCTGTAAGTAGGGCTAGCCTGAGCTAAACATAAACCCTCCGTCCGTAGTCCTGGCACATGGCGGCCGGCATTGACTCATGGGTGCGTTCCCAGGTAACAAAAGCGCATGGTATTTATTTAGTCAACACCCCCCAAGTCGACGCGGGACGTATATATGTAACTATGCCGGCATCTACTCCGTACAAGCGGCGGCTTTTGCAAGCGTTTGGGCTCAGCTAGCTGGCTGAGACAGGCCCAAGCTCTGGCCTTGCCTGTACCTGAGAAACACAACTGCAGCCAAAACCTTGATTATTATTTATTTTCGCTCTCGCCGCTGCCATTTTTCTCCTCATTGTTTATGCCGTTACCGTCGATATACGTCCCTCGTCGCCAATCTCGCTCAAGCCCGTAATGATAGCGCAGTGGATTACACTATGACTATTGACACCGCACTCGATGCTGGCGACAACGGGATGGCGTCGGTCACGGATGGCCTCCTCCAGTCCAACTCAGAAAACAGCGCAACGCTTCCCGTGGGAAGAAATGTTTTCTTGACTCTGACAGATGATGCGCTCATTCTTGCTGGTAAGTATCGCAGAGTGCAAGACATCCGACTCCCAGAAACTTGCGAACAGTGGTTTGGCTTACTTGGGAATACTTTCTTTATAGATAAAGGCATCAAGTCGAAGTCACAGCGCTGTTGCCGCAGTTTTCCAATCCCTGGTGAGACTCGTTTCTCTCGCCCAATTATTATTACTATTATTTCCGGGCTCTTGAGGTCCCTCCAAAATTTTTGTCTTTCAACAATTCAGCAGACGTCGCTTCTGACTCCTCTCCTCTTTCGAAGGCTCCGCTTCGCAATCTATCCCGTATTTCAACATCCTCTGGGTTGAACTCTCTGACGACTATATTACGATTAAATATGCCGACCAAGTTACCAAGAAAGATGTCACCCTTCGTTCAGTGAAATATTCAGTCAACCTTGAGAATAAATCAAAAGCCAAAACATGGACCCAGGAACTTCTCGACTCGGCCTACGGCAAAGCGCAACGGCAAAAGCGCATTAAAGTCCTCATAAACCCCTTTGGTGGAAAAGGCCACGCCCCAAGAGATTACCTCAGATACGTCGAGCCAATTTTCGCAGCCGCTAAATGCCAAGTCGATGTCGAATCAACAAGTCACAGAGGGCACGCAGTCGACATCGTGGAGAAGCTTGACGTCAATGCATATGATGTTGTCGTAGCCTGTTCGGGAGATGGTATACCTTACGAGATCTTTAATGGGCTAGCCAAGAAGCCAAATGCGAGCGAAGCTCTGCGGAAAATTGCCGTGGCTCACATACCTTGCGGGTCGGGAAACGCAATGAGCTGGAATCTCAATGGAACTGGCAGGGCCAGTCTGGCCGCCGTTTCTATTGTCAAGGGCTTGAGAACTCCACTTGATTTAGTCTCCATCACTCAAGGTGATAAACGCACAGTGTCATTTTTATCCCAATCTTTTGGTATTATAGCTGAATTAGACCTGGGTACCGAGAATATCCGGTGGATGGGCTCCGCGCGATTCACATACGGATTCCTGGTACGACTGCTTGGAAAACCAGTCTATCCCTGCGACCTTGCTATTAAGGTCGAACTCGATAATAAAGAATTGATCAAAGATCACTACCGCGCTGGATCCCAAAGAAGAAGCCTTGACCAACTACGCGATGAAGAATCATCAGACGCTGTCGGCCTCCCACCATTACGGTATGGCACCGTGAACGACCCGCTACCCGATGGCTGGACTCTGGTGCCACACGATAAACTGGGCAATTTCTACGCGGGCAACATGGCATATATGGCTGCGGACACCAACTTCTTTCCCGCCGCACTCCCCAACGACGGATGTATGGATCTCATCACAGTGAACGGCGACATTAGTCGACGGACTGCAATCCAGATGCTTATGTCTGTTGACGATGGCGCGTTCTTCGATATGCCCGAGGTCAACGTGCGGAAGGTTACTGGCTACAGGGTTATCCCCAGGGACCGGAAAGAAGGATACATCAGTATTGATGGGGAGCAGGTGCCATTTGAGCCTTTCCAAGCGGAAGTCCATAAAGGACTTGGAACGGTCCTATCCAAATCTGGATACAAATATGAAACTAACGGATTGAAGTGAAGATGATGGGTGATGACATCATCTCACCCCTTTTTATTTCACTGCTGCTGCCTTCATTGATTATATTTATCCTCTGTGATGGGATACAACTAGCTACGGGTTTGCGTTTTCTGATTGTTGCTTGTTGCCTGTACAATTGCTCTTCTCTTTATTCTTTTCTCTCATCTCTTTTGCTTTCGTTTAATGCTGTTCACTACAAATACTAAACCGAGCTCCATATCAAGAAAAAGATACCCCTGCCCCTGACTGTCCATCATGTATATGCAACTTGGCTCCAGCATCCCTCTTCTCTATTTCTCATTCGACTTGCATAAATAAGCTAGACACAGTGGTATAACTCTTTACATCTTTTCCCTCTCCCTTGCGTGTAAAAACTTAGCGATAGGTAGTTACTTTTCTTAAAATTTTCTCTGTATAAAAGAATACGGGATGTTGGAATTCGTTCTTGATGGTAGTAACCATTGATAGATACATACTATTTCACTTGCTTTCCCTTCTCGTGTGATTTTGATTTTGCTTCATTTTTTTTTTTTTTTTTTTTGATATTCTCTCTCCCGATAAGGCCCTTCTCCCTCCCGAGGCATGTTCCCTTCCCAGAATATATTATTTATTATTCGAAAGGTCTTATCTCGTATGTTCCAACACCCCGTTTTGTATGACAATATATGTATCGTCAGTTTCATTTTCTGGATATCGCGCAAAGGGCCATCGAGTGATAAACACTGGATGAGTGAAATAAGCCGTTTTAAGACATGAAAAGAGAAAAGAACGCTGACAATGAATTTACCAAATTAAACAACAATCACCCTTCAATACCCCCCCACCCTTCTTCCTCCTCATTCTCCTCCTCATAGTCAGTTTTCTTCCTCTCCCTAACTCCCCACTCCACCAACCGCTCATCATCCAATACCACCCCAGCCCGCTTCCTAACCAGCTTCGAAATGCTCTTCTCCTGTAGCCTAACTATCGGACGAAGAAGTAATTCCATCGGCACTCCCGTTTTCAGCTGCCCCTTCTTCTCTTGTGTCTTCCCGGCAACTGTAGGGCTTCCCGCCTCATTGCCCTCACTACCATCTTCCCCAGTCTCATTCCCATCCCCATCAGCCTCAACCTCAACAGCAGCAACCTTCTCAATCTCATCCAACCAAATATCCAACAAATGATACCGCAGCCCATCAGGCCCCTTGTGCATCCGTACAGAAGGATTTTCATTGCCATTGTCATTTTCCGGGTCGAAATTAATCGGACACAGCGGGCCCTCTTCCAGCATGTCAAGGTATATTCCTAGCTCCTTCCAGATCCCCAAGTCTCCAGACTCAGCAGTCCCCACGCCATTTTCATCTGCTTCTTCACCCCTCTTCCGCTTCCCTAGACTTCCTTTCCGCTTTCCAGAACCCTCTTTATTCCCCTTCCTTTCCCCTTTCCCCTGCTCCTTCTTCACTCCCGCCCGCACCCCTGACAAACCCTTCGCCAAAAACACCTCAAACGCAACACCCACATAACACCGGATTAGATAGAGATATTTATCCAGCCGTAGCCGATCTAGGGAGTGGAAATCGCGCGACATGGTTATCCAGAATGCTCGCAGGAATGGTTGGAGGATTTGAGCAGGGAGAGAGGGGACGAGTGTAAAGGAAAGCGAGCGCGCGAGGGATTGTTGGGTTAGAGGACGGTCGGAGTGGTAGAAGCCTGTTTGATTTTTTTTTTTTTTGATTTGATTTCTCCAATATTAGTAATTTTTTCTTCTTCTTTTTTTGGGGATTGACATTGGGATTGGCGTGCAAGGAATGTGCCATTTTTGGATATCACTTAGTTTTGTGAGGACGGTGGGAAACGGGGGAAGAACGCATACAGAAGAATAGCCCTTTCCATATCTTTAATAGCTCGACAAGTTGTAAGTCTCTCCGGCTTTGGATGAAGCGGGTTAGCGATTCAAGGGCCTTGTCGCGGGTTCGTCTATCTGGAGGGAAGGAGGAAAAGGCGATAAAATTAGCCGCATGTTTCTAACAGATTTTATCTCCATCGTATGTATAATTGATCACACAACTTTGTTTTTTATTTAAAAACAATTATTTTCATATCGAAGATACAGTTGAAAACCCCTTCTTTCGAAGACACATTGGATAAATGTATAAATTCAAGTAACATACCGCTGGAGGCTAACTCCCGAATAAACGGAGTTTGCGCAACGTCCTCCATCCCGATGTGAAGTCCAAAAAGGGAGCTGCCAAAACAGCAAACACGCTGCTCCTGCTCGGGCTTCTTCAAAAGCACGGGGTATGCCAATAAGAAAATTAAATAAGTTGAAAGGCGATCAAAAAAGAAAAAATAAATAAATAAATAATAAATAAATAATAATAATAATAAAATTGGCTCCGGCCGCACTGAACTGCGTCTGTTCTCGTGGATAGATTTTTTCTGCGGCGTTCTTATAGTTCTTTTGCTGTTTCGCTTGAGGGGATAATTGAGAGGTCGAAGTGAGATATCAAATCTGGAGGTCCAGATGCTCCGTGTATATATCGGCTGGTGTAGAACGGAGCTATTATTTTATTTTTCTCCCACTCGTTCTGCTTCAGCAGGTTCTATTTTTCGTTTTTTTTTTTTTTTTTTTTTTTTTTTTTCTGGTGGGAAATATTGGATGTTTGCACTGTTTGGTCGCCGGGTCTTGGGACTCTGTCATTCGGATACCAGATCCTTTACCAGGGAGATGGCGAACAACCCTAACCAAGGATATTAATAACCAGGGCATATACTTTTCAAAAAAAAAAGATAATCTCTTTTTTGGGGGAGCGAAATAGAGAAAAC